CTTAGATGGAACTAACTGCATTGCTAACTGGCATACGCTTAGCAGTGCATATCAAACAAATTTTATCTTCCATGAACTTCAAAGATGTTATTGTATAGTCTGATAATGAAGCAGTCTTACAATGGGTATGGGATGACAACTGTCCAACTCCGTATGTAAGAAATCAAGTCTTGGAACAAAGGGAAATTTCTGCAGGCTTTCAATTGATACCTGGTTGATACCTGGTTGATGGGGTTCTGGGAGTTCTTCTACTCCCCAAGCCCGGCGCGAGGCCAGGCTTGACTTGTAAGAGTTTGGTTCACCAGGCTGTTGCTTGGAGCGGCCCGAAGGCCCACATACCCACCACAGCCCGGTTGGTCCGGCACTCCTTGGAGGAATAAATCTAGTTTCCTCTTGAAAATGTCTACGGTTGTTCCGGCAATATTTCTTATACTTGCTGGGAGGACGTTGAACAACCGCGGACCTCTGATGTTTATACAGTGTACTCTGATTGTGCCTATGGCACCTCTGCTCTTCACTTTGTTGCATTTACCAACAAAATATAATCTTGCTGATCTCTTATCATGAGGGATGGCATTTAAACAGTTTGCAAAGGCAGATATTTGGTTTTATGGGCCTCGATAGTTAGTGAATGGCGATTGGCCGGAACAAAAGTAATACGTCATCATGACAAAAGCCATAACTACCACCTTGCGGCAGCAAGCTCAAACATCCGTCTTACTCGTCATCTCTCGCTCATCAAATTAATCGAGGTATCACAAAACGTGTTACATTATCTCACGAAAAGGGGCATAAAATACACCTTTCGAGGAGAACTTGTCTATTTGGTAAGACAAGCCCAGAGAGAAACTTATGGGAATGACTATGAAAATCTTCCACACAATCTCGGTCTGTTTAAAGACCAAGAAAATCACAATATACTGCAATGTGGCAGAAGACTAAAACCCTCAAATAGCACTCTAGATACTGTGCATCCATGGTTTTTACTAAAGAATAATTGGATTACAAAGTTGATTGTTACATACACATCAACAAATCATCAAATATGGAGGAGTGTTAGACACACACACATCTCAATCAGCGGTATTAGATTCCTCCGGGAAGACAGTCAGTCAAATCAATCTTGAAAAATTGCATGATATGCCGTAGGTACGATGCAAGAACTGGTCCATATCCAGGGCCACCACCACTACCAAAAGAAAGAGCGGTCCATCTACATCCTTTCGAAACGTCAGGAGTAGATTATACTGGCGCAATATATCTAACAGGGACTGCAGATAAACAACCTATAAAAGGCATACATCTGCCTGTTCACCTGTGCATCTACCAGAGCCGTACATCTAGAGGTAACACCTGATATGACTGCTCAGTCATTTATCCAGGCTTACCGCAGATTCACAGCACGCCGATCATGCCCTAAACTGATGATTTCAGATAACGGTAACTTGGTACCTGGGGAATCCACACTGGAACAGCATCACAGCAGATGGAAATTTATCCCTCCTAGAGCCCCATGGCTTGGAGGATTTTATGAACGGTTAATAGGAACTGTCAAAAGATCCTTGAGAAAATCTCTGCACTGTCAAAAAATCAATCTTCATGAACTCCAGACAGTAATCACGGAAATAGAATCCAGGGTGAATAACCGGCTGCTTACATATTTGTCTTATAATCCTACTCAAGGTTCTAGAAGGTTCAAGAACACCTTAATTAATTGAAAAACTATTGGAACTTGAATCGATTTCCGGTAATGGATTGAATCAAATCCTTAATAAGAATCAATAGTACTATGAAGTACTACAAATAATCTTTAAATCCTATATCTAATTATATTATAATCACTTGTTATCTCAATCATAGCTCTAGACAGTAAAAATAATCAATAAATATACATTGAAAGCTACACTCCCTAGGGAGGAGGGCAGAGCCAGCTCAGGGTAAAAGCACCAACCAGTGCCCGGGGCAGAACGTTTTGTTTACATAAAATAGTGCAAACACGTAACAGTACCTTGCAAACATTTTCAGTAAAGGACACCACACTAACTTATCATTATCAACAGTGATTACTTTGTACAAACTAAGGGAGTGCCTGGACTATATCTATAAGGAAAATTCCAAGTACTTTTATCTAAATAAGGGTGTAGAGTGACTCGAAGTGACGCTGCTCTACCACACCTAATCATATCCCACTGCATATGCAACTAAGAACATAATCAACTAGCAAAGCTACCAGAATTTCAAACAGAATATAAAAAGGAATGACATAAAAATAGAGTGCCTAAGCTCTACAAGAAAGGTTATCCAGTCTGGCAACTTGTCAGACGGCACCGGCACTCAGATTGGATTAAACATATGTATAGTGTGAGTTATTATAGTGTGCTGATTGGCCAATTGCATGCTTGCATAACCTTAATCTATCCAATAAATCTCTTTGTTGTTACAGTATGGGGCAACACCCAAGATTTCAGTAAGTTTTGATTAATCAAAATGAAATGACGAACTGAGGATGCTTACTCTGGCGCTCCAAGATGGCGTCACTCTCGGACGTCAACAAAGTCACCCTATGATTGCCTCACACAGCTTCTCTGCTCCTGACTTGAGCCCACAAAGTCTCCTGGCAGGCTCCACACCTGCTTATCCTCTACCACTCGAGGATATAACACATTAGAGTTCCACACAGGAACAACCACCACCAGGCTTCAGGCCGTCTCTAATATCTCCATAATCTCTGAGAAGTGGCATATGGCCCGTCCTCGGCAGCTTCCTCACCAGTTACAACTGTAGCATTCAATCGAACACTTTATCCAGAACTGTATTCTTCTATGTTCCCAGGATACAGAGATGCACGTTCACTTCTGATGACTGTAGTAACTCAAGTAGTATTAAAACGTCTGAACAAATCCACAAGGGCCGTGATGAAGATTCGAACCTCCGTCCGGGAGCATCCCAGACGCTGCCTTAATCGACTGAGCTACGACAGGGTTAAAAGAGTTGAAACCGAAGTTCTACTGAACTTACTGGATCCCGCAGCCTCTCCGAGGCACAAACCACAAACCAGAAGAGAGAGAACGGCCTACTGACATTGCTCGAGTGCAAGGGGGAGTTATGTAAAACCCTGGTTTGTGCCTCGGAGAGGCTGCGGGATCCAGTAAGTTCAGTAGAACTTTGGTTTCAACTTTTTTAACCCTGTCGTAGCTCAGTCGATTAAGGCAGTGTCTGGGAGGCTCCCGGACGCAGGTTCGAATCCTCGTCACGGCCCTTGTTGATTTGTTCATTTGATGCATCACGTTAGTGTGATTTCTGTGTTTTAAGACGTCTGATAGTATCACGTCAAGTCACAAAATGTCATTAAAAAGTCATTAATCTCCATGAAGCTTTTACAAGAGGCTCATCCTTTGCTTGTATGCTTTTAAATCACTTGTTGACGTACGTTTAATATTCTTTTTCCTCTGACCTCGCAATCTCTGGTCAGGAAAGCAGAATAACTTTCATTTGGTACACTCTTTTTACGAGGCTACCTGGGGGTCATAACAAAACTTAGTACCCGGATGAGCCACAAAGAAATTATAATGATTTTCTTTAGTGTCAGAGTAGTTAACAAACGGTATACATTAAGCAGTGATGTGGTGGAGGCAGACTCCATACACAGTTTCAAATGCAGATTTGATAGAGCCCAATAGGCTCCAAAATCTGTACGATGGTCGATTGACAGTTGAGAGGTGGGACCAAAGAGCTAAAGCTCACCTCCGGCAAGCACATCTAGTTGAGTGCACACACATGCCAACTAACAAACCTACCCGCCCACCTCTCAACGATCCCACTGTTTATTTCCTTCCAGGAAGGTCATTAATGAAACACATGGGAAGCCATTACTTCCAGCGGTGGGAAAGGTCATTAAGTCACTCACCGAGGAAACGTGAGAAGAGGAGAGGGATTTTCTGTAATATATGCTAAATGCTGCCTTAATTATTGTTATTTTTCTTCGTTGCGATGGTTATGGGAGGCTGAGCTCACGAGAATAAATACCAAGACTATATTGGCGATGGCAGCTTCGAAGGTGAAGAATTTGCTTAGTTTGTGTTGCGATTTTTCTGTTTTGAAATTTTTGTCCACTTATTAGCTTCTGTGAGAGAGAAAAATATATATAATACAACGTAATACTATTTTTTGTTCATTGGTAAGTGTTATTTTTAATTGTTTATATCTAAAACGAATAGAAAATAGTTTATATTCCTCTCAATCTTTTATTTTGTGCACAGAACAAAATTTTGTTTTGATATTTTAATATTTTATGTTTTGTTTACGTTTTTGTTTTGTTTTTGTTTACGTTTTTGTTTTGTTTTTAATATTTTATGTTTTGTTTATGTTTGTTTTAATATGTTTATGTTTTGATATTTTAATATTTACCTTCCTCTCTTGAACATTGGCGTAAGTTCAAGAGTAGGGTTGGAACTCTTGACTAGATAATGGTCCAAGACGAACCGAAACGTGGTCGCCTCTTCATCTTCTGGTGTGTGATTTGGTCATCATATCTTCAGCCACGTTGTTGTGGCTCATCCTCTACAACATTAACCTAAATCCAATGAGACAACGAGTGAATTTGCCTCTTTTAGTTACCATCATTTCGGAAAAACTACAAACGAATAAAAATTAGCATGAATTTATACTAGGGTTATTAAAAAATAAACACAAATGATATAGAAGTGAGTAGTTTTTCGAGATTTATACACAGTCAACCACTTTTCCGCATCAGCCCTGAAATGTAGTCTTCCATGTTCTCAGGCCACTGTCCCTGACAGCTGTATTTAGTTTCGAAATATTCCGGTGGATGTGATGACATTGCTCCTTCGAGTTCTCTCCCGTGTTCTCCCTGAACGGACCAAGACGTATTTGGTCCGTTCATCACGGATATGGCCTCTGAGGAACACCCTGCAGCCCAGAGTGTTGTAGGTCTTCATCAGTCTCAACCACCACCACATAGGTTTCGGCCTTGTGATTGCCCAAAAAGTTCGGAGGGCCCTGGAAGCTCCCGAACCACTACGATCAAGCTGTTCCAAGCTGCTTTGTTCTTCCCAGTGACCTTCTTGGGGGATTTCCTTGTATTCCAGGATCTTCTTCATCTGTCGCCCTACGAAGATAAGAGCTTTCACCTTTGCCTCAATTTTAGGGATGAAAACTTAAAGGTACTTAAAGGCTGTCGATCTTTAACTAGAGCTCTGACAAATTGTTTCATAAGACTCGATATAGTGTGCGGAGGTGGGGAGTTCTCCGTCTGTGGGGAGAACTAGGACTATCTAGTCCCAGATATTTAGTCCCATAAATAGTCCACCAGGACTATTTATGATAAAAGGAAACCACGATAAATAATAATTGAAAACACATTAAGAAAAAGGATTTTATAAATGCCGCTATCTGGTGCGACCATTCTCCCTATTCTCTCCCCTCCCCACGGCCCATTACCTTTCCTCACTCTTCCCCATTTACTTTCATTCTCCTACCTTCCCATTTCCCTCTCCTTTCCCTTCCCCCCCTTTCCTAATCTTTCCCCACCACATTCTCCTTCCTTTTTCCATTCTTCCATCCCCCTCATTGTCTTCCAAATTCGTATTTACCTCTCTCTCTTTCCTCCCCCTTACCTTTTCACCCTCATTTCCTCTCCCCCTTCCCTCCCATCCTCATGACGCAAATGTGTAAATATTACAACCTAGGAGCAACAGTAGCGTAATTTTAACCCAGTAAACCAGTTCAGTATTACGCACTCAATGGCCGGGCCAGACAACACCCCTCGCATCTGCTCTCAATTGGTTCATAATATGCTAATTATTAAACTAACTGCACCATTCACGGACCGAGTCTATAACACGATATTAGAACTGGAGGCTATGCTATTTAAAGGGTGTGATAATTATGCCCTCTGTCTATGATCGCTTGGCATTGGAAGTATATATATGTGAGCCTAAATATTTAGGTCAATAAAAAAATTGATTTTGTTTATTATGCACCTAATACCCCTTTTGTTGGCGGAAGTCGGCCCCATACCATTCCTGGTGGTGAAAGTAGACCCCACACAATCCCTGGTGGTGGAAGTGGACCCGATACCATTTTTGGTGGTGGAAGTGGACCCCATTCCATTCCTGGTAGAGGAAGTGGAACCAATACCATTCCTGTGGTGGTAGTGGATTCCACCACCATTCCTATTGGTGGAAGGGAACCCCCATACCATTCCTGGTAGAGGAAGTGGAACTTCCCTGGCAAGGTTGCCAGCGGTGCGTGGCACCAGGTGGCACTGATTAGTTCAATCAATACAATGCTAATTAGGAGAAGGACACTTTTATTCATTTATCCGAACAAGTTAAACATGCAAAGGCTCTGAGGTGGAAGTGGTGGTGGTGGCGGGGGATGGCGGGGGATGGGGTGGGGTGGTAGTGTGGGTGATGGTGGTGGGGGTGGGGTGGTAGTGAGGGTGGTGGGGGTGGTGAAGGGGGGGTTGATTGTGATGGACTGGGATGGTTATTATTATTAACATATTTATTGAGTAAATTAAGTAAAATTTTGCCTAATTTGAGTAATTCATAAGGTCGTATTAGAGTGAGAATAATGCTGGTATCTACTATCACACAGAACAGGGGATCATACACAAGACAATAGGTCTAAACTGTAGGATGTGGCACATATACATAAATTGTAGGATGTGGCACATATACATAAACTGTAGGATGTGGCACATATACATAAACTGTAGGATGTGGCACATATACATAAACTGTAGGATGTGGCACATATACATAAACTGTAGGATGTGGCACATATACATATATCATGGTTACAATCAACTACATTAAACAGTTTTCATGTTTCAATTTACGGATTAGTACATCCTGCTTTTTATTGTGCATTGCCACATAAGGGCAGGGATGGATTCATAAGAGATGCAGCTTAAAAAATAAAATTAAGATAATTGTTCTTCATTCTTCAAATTAGAGAAGCAAATTTAAGATAAATTGTTAGGAAGTCGTCCAGTACATCAGATTCAATGAAATAATTACACAGATGGTGTTATAATAGGCGGTTTCTTTTTTTAGATTCCGTAAAAAATTCTTTTACAATCTATTACGGTTTCATCTTCAAGAATATAGTGTTCAAGTGAATGCATTAAAGGTCTGTCACAGAGTTTACAAGCTGAATATTCTTGTATTGGCTCAGCCTCACTAACCTACCAGACGGGCCTATAGCCAAAGTGGATTCCAGCAATGACTACATCACATTGCCTGGTCCGGTTACTGTGCTGACCATACAAATACCTATTATTACATAAGTTGCCATGTATTTTAATACTGCAGCATTCAGGTCTTTGGACACTTCTTAGTTCTTACTTCTTAGCACGTCTTTCTTCTGACCAGAAGTAATTTCAAAAAATTTTATGTTTCTAAAAATTGTATTAGATAGTGATGGAATCCACACAAATTTTATACAAATGTTATTATCATTGGCAAAAGTTACACTCCATTAAATATTACATGCTACTTCAGGCATTAATCATGACGAGTTTTTTTAATAAGGATTGCGGAGCACTTTTAGAGTCACAAAATACCAGTGAACCCCCATTGAGTTTAAGGTACTCAGCGGTTAGATAAATACCCAACAGCTCAGTCTGTGTCGTGCTTCCCCAGTCCTTCAGTCTTTGCGTACTTAACATTTTATTCGCTTTATATACTGCACACGCACAACCTGCTCTACCAGTACCCAATTGCACAGAACAATCAGTAAAGGCATAGGATTCTGTTGGTTTGAGAGACTGAGAAGGTGGTAATGGATGAGGGTGGTGGTAGTGGTGGTGTTGAGGGGATGGTTGTAGTGTTGGGGGGATGCTGGTGGTGGTGTTGAGGGGATGGTTGTAGTGTTGAGGTGATGGAGGTGGTGGTGATGAGGGGATGGTTGTAGTGTTGGGGTGATGCAAGGGGTGAACAAGGTTAATGATGGTCTAAAACCTTCCCAAACAAGGTTAATGATGGTCTAAAACCACCCCAAAGAAAGTTAGCAATGGCACAATTCCCTTTCAACAGGGGTAACGATGACGCAAGACCTCTCAGGCAAGATTTACAATGACGCAAGGCTCTTCCAAACAAGGCGCCTGGACACCGTTGCTTCAAAACCCACGCAGTGTACTGATGGCGCAAGACCCCTCACAAAACAAGGGTAGCCTGAGCTAAGACACTCACAAAACAAGGGTAGCCTAGGCCAAGACACTCACGAAACAAGGGTAGCCTGGACCAAGACACTCCCAAAACAAGGGTAGCCTGGGCCAAGACACTCACAAAACAAGGGTAGCCTGGGCCAAGAAACTCTCAAAACAAGGGTAGCCTGGGCCAAGACACTAACAAAACAAGGGTAGCCTGGGCCAAGAAACTCTCAAAACAAGGGTAGCCTGGGCCAAGAAACTCTCAAAACAAGGGTAGCCTGGGCCAAGAAACTCTCAAAACAAGGGTAGCCTGGGCCAAGACACTGGTAGCCTGGGCCAAGACACTCACAAAACAAGGGTAGCCTGGGCCAAGACACTCACAAAACAAGGGTAGCCTGGGCCAAGACACTCTCAAAACAAGGGTAGCCTGGGCCAAGACACTCTCAAAACAAAGGTAGCCTGGGCCAAGACCGTCCAAGCCGTTCTCACGACGTTGCGATACAGATTTCAATGAGATTTTTCGGTATCTATTGTCCCGTGTTGAGCCTGCAGCTCTCTCGGGCGCGATCCTTCCTGGGCCTGACGTGAGGGAAATGAGAGTTTGCGGGCCTGGTGTGTTCAGGACGCTGCCGTCAGGATAACGCTCTGAATGCCTCAAGGGGTCTTCGTGGTGGAGGGTGACTCAAGTCGAGAAGGAGGTTTCTACGTCATTGGTATCTGTAGTGAGTATTTTAGTGTCTGAGGTGTATACTTTAATATTTGTCGTGTATACTAAGGCATGTGCTGTGTGTACTTAATTGTGCTTGCGGATGTTGAACTTTTATATATAAGTTCAACATCTGCAAGCACAATTATAAATATAAGTTTTATATTATATATATATATATATATATATATATATATATATATATATATATATATATATATATATATATAATATATATTTATGTATTTGTAAATATATATATATATATATATATATATATATATATATATATATATATATATATATATATATATATTTATGTATTTGTAAATATATATATATATATATATATATATATATATGTATATATATATATATATATATATATATATATATATATATATATATATATATATATATATATATATATATATATATATATTGTGACGGGAAAGTGTTGGAGTGTTGATGTTCGGCAGTCCTCCAATGGCAGGTATCAATGCCTGGTCACACTTAAAACAAAAAGACAGACTGCTTGCCTGTTGTCTGTGGTAAGTGAGAGGGAGGAACACGTAAAACACAAAGTATGAACAATGAAACTTTAATATATTTACTTTAAACATAAATGAAAATAAAGACAAATCTCGGGGGAATTAAAAGTACAATTAAATAACAAAGATAAATGCAAAGACAATGTGAGACACAATAGTGTAAAGGTGAAATAGTAAAATGGTGCTGAGAATATCGGCTATGCTGAGACCTCCCTTCGTATACAAGCCAGTGAGCTTAGTATGCCAGAGAGAGATGTCAACTCTAAGAGCACAAAGAATATTCTGAAGTTGATAGCTAGTCAGGGCTCCGACGTCGATTCAGGTAGATGGCGCGGAGGTGCAGTGTGCAGGTGCGCGGTTGGCGAGTCACCAATCAGGAGCAGGCAGGCTGGGATGGGTAGTTTGCTGGTTGACGACAAGCCGGCATGGAGGGTGTGTGGAGTAGGGGGATCTTGGGTACGTTTTGCCTCCTGGTCAAAACGTTTTGTGCTACCGGTGACGTATCTTGAATGTAGCATCTTATACTTGTTAACTTGACGTAACTTTAAGTAGGGAAGAGCAGGCTCAATCTCTCTAGAAAGAGATTATCGTCACAATATATATATATATATGTCGTACCTAGTAGCCAGAACGCACTTCTCAGCCTACTATGCAAGGCCCGATTTGCCTAATAAGCCAAGTTTT